TTTTAATTTTCCTTCTTTCATTAAGTGAAACTTTAATGTACATACATTCATATTTTAACACGTTGGTCGTTCAGTCTCAATGTATTGCCGGTGAGCAAATCTAAAATGTCAAAAATGGTGAACATAAGAACATCTATATGCGTGGAATTATCGCTGAACATACAAATAGCTAAGCAACGTAGAAATAAATTTGATTTCTATGGAGAAAAAAAAATTAAAATTTTATATATGTAGCTCTTTTACTTAAACATATACCTAACTATGACTTGAATAATGCGCTTACAACGTAGATATTATAAAGTATCACATTCCAAAAAGTTTAGCAAAAGCTTGTTTTGGAATGTGATACTTTTTGCAGTTACTTTTGATACATTGCACTTTTTTTCGAATGCGTTCTACACGTAGTGGATACGTAAAATAAAAATAAACCGGGTAGCGAAAAAATCGAGCACGCTTTTCTTATACATGTCATATAAATGTTTCCAGAAATAACCAATTAAATAAACTAGAATATTTTCCTAAAATGCAGCATAAAAGTGCTATTTATAAGTTTTTAATGATGTATTAATGTTTGGTAAATGAATATTAACACAGACCTGTATTATGAAATTTTCAAACAAACTGAAAGTATGTACTAATATTGAATAAATTGTTTTTTAAAATGTATCAAAAACTTTAGCGGTTTATTTTTATAACCTAAAGGTATACCTGGCCAATGGTGTAGTAGTTATTGCAATGGTCCTTTAACAGAAGGACCTCGGGTTCAAAGCCCAGTCAGGTCACTATAAAAATTATATTCAATATTATATAGTTTTATACAAATAACATGATACTCTACATATTAACGAATAGCCATATTTCAACAATATCCTATTTTAAACATACTAGAAAAATGAAATAGTAAATATCAATAACCATAAATATTTAATATAAAACTTCGATAGGCTCGTCACCCACCAATGACGTAAGACATTGGTGTTCATGATTATCTATCATATCGTGCACCAGCCCTATGCTCCTCCCTGGAGCGAAACAGGAATAAAAAAAAAAGGTATTGAAGCTCTGAGACAACACCTTTACATTGTAATACGGTACAATCGTTTAAATACCGTACTTACACTTTTTACAAAACATCATTGAAGTCACGGATACTTAGTTTCTCTAAATTGTAATTTTAAACCTGTGATACAGGGACTTAAAGTAAGTCGCTCACAAGTGACCGCGGATTCTACATTGCTTTTTAGATTTGGTCACGAATTACACGTTTTGTGCTCAACGTATGTATTTTTAGCACTTTTCCAAAAATTTTTTGAAAAAAAGTGCTTATTAGTTTCACTCTGTCCGTCCGTCCGACCGTCCGTCCGTCCGTCTGTCCGTCCGTCCGTCTGTCCGTCCGTCCGTCCGTCCGTCCGTCCGTCTGTCCGTGTGTCTGTTTACAAAACTTCTACACTCTTGAAGATAGAAAGCTGAAATTTTAAATGTACATAGATCTTTACTACAAACTTATTTCCGTAGAACAAAATTTTTACCTATCTCTCCCCCTCTAGAAGTTACACCCCCCAAACCACTAAAAATGGTCTTTTTTAACTATTTGTTGCAACGAAACCATAAGCATTTTTGAAATTTTGCAAACGCATAAAGGCAGCGGCTTGCTTCCCCTAGCGTGGTACACTATAGTTAAACTTTAGAAAAACAAAATGGCCGTTCAAATTTACCGTTATCTGAAGTCTTTTTTTTCAAAATTTTTGATTTCGTTTTTCTTCTAGACCCCAGCTTGTAGAAGCTTGAAATTTTATGGACTTTTAGACATTAGCAAATAGTTTATTTCGTTAGAAGAAAATTTTTTTCCATCTCCACCCCCTCTCAAGTTATCGCCTCTTGAAATTTGTAAAATTTGAATTTTTGACACCTTATATTTCCGAAACCGCAAGCTTTTTCAAATATCTATAAACACAAAAAGCTAACGGTAAACTCCATGACATTAAAAAATATAATTATTTTTCTTAACTCACACGATTTATCCTTAAAATCGAGCATTATGTTAACCCCTCTTTATATTAATTTTTGCTTTATTTCAAAGACTGCATAAATCGTTCATCCTAAATATATGCAATCCTAGAAATAGTTTTGTATATGAATGAAAATAATTTTAATAGTGTGATAAATAGCTATAAATACACTGTATTTAAAAGCAGAATTTTCACTTGTTGAAGGGAAAAGTGCTACAATACAAACCATTGGTTTGACCCAACTTTATTTATATTTTTTATAGTCATGAAGCTCAACGTGTTAATTTTGTTTTAATGTTTTCAAAAATATTTGGAATAAGTGCGGTTCGTACAAGGGGCTTCTAGTATACATATATAAAGTTTTTAAGTTTTTTCAACTTTTCCGTCTGGTTTATTTTTTTTTAATGAGAATTCTCTTCTTTTTACGCCATTGTTACCCTTTTTAAAGTTTTTTTCAAGCTTTATTCCAGAAGACCTGTTAATTCTTTTTAACAAGTGCATTTGACAATCAAAAAAAGTTCGATTAAGAGCTAAGTTCGTATTTTAAAATAAAAAAAATATGAAAAAGAAATATCTCGTTTTTACACGATTTAAGGTGCAATTCTTTTTGATTAAACTGGAATAATGCCTTGATAAAATTTTATCATCAAGTTTTTCTAAATAAAAATATTCTAAAAATGTACCTAACCTTGATTTATTTCGAGGACGCGTTTTGGGGGAAATCAAGGAAAACTAGTATCTTGTTTTAAGTCGAAAAATAAAATGTAAATCGAAAATTTTTAGCGGGAAATAATTGGAAAATTTAAATAGAAAATATGTAAAATCTCATCGTTAATTTTAAAATTATAGAGGTTGAATAAGTGTTACATCAGATACGTCAAACATGCGGTCCGCAGCTTTTGCTTCTGTGGACTAAATTTTATAATCATTTACCTACAATTAAGCGTGTTTTAGCAAAGTTCGGAAGCACATAATTGTATAAATTAGAAAGTAATAAAAGAACTAAAAAATCATTACTTACAGATCAAGGTCTATCAATATTAAAAATATTAAAATTACAGATTTACAGATCAACATGTTAAATCATTATTAAAAATATTAAAATAACGATTGCGAATTAAATTCAACGAAATAAAGTAACAGAAAAACGTTCCTAAATTTCCTTAAAAAAATTATTTTATAGCTTTTTGCATGACTGTATTATTTTTATGTTTTATATGTTTTTATGTTGATATTAAAAATCAAAATTTGAGTATAATTTAGTAGTTTAAGTTTTTAATTGTGGGGCCCGAAGCAATGTATGGCAACCCTTAAATGGTCCGTGATGTTAAATGAGTTTGACATGCCTGAACTTAAAAATCGTCATTCCTGGAGAACTTCCGAAAATTTACTCCTAATAATATCTCAATTTTATAAACTACATTATACAACTAAGAAGTTGGAAAAATTAAATCGAATATAAATTCGAGGAAGTTAGTATGGCTTTCCTAAAAAAATCAGGGATCCATAGACAAAATTAAATAACACTCGTGAGATACGAAATTGGAAAAAAAACGGTATAAAAAACACTTCGCCATACTTTACTTTTTTGCACGCCTTTTAAATTGTTTTGGGTAAAAATATGAATATTGTGATAAATTTAAGCGCGGTTTATAGATGAAATTAGCAAAAGCTGCAATATTATACATATAACTTGAAAAATTTATGTTTTTTTTTAAATAAACAGTTAATAATTCAAACTTTTTTAACTTTAAAGCTTTGGGATTTCGAAATTTAAAAAGATTTCAATTAGAATAAATATTTATGTGATAATTAGACGTGATAGAATTCCGTTTTAGTCGTGGCAGACCAGATATGGAGTTGAATATCTTGTGTCCGCTGGTACCCTGAACGTCCCGCCTTTTTTCCTGATTTTTAATTGAAAAAACATTTTTATTTGACTGCAGCACTAAAAAAAAAATTTTAAAACCTATGAACATATTCTTGAACTACTTTTCTATATTCTTATTTTTTCTTTCTAATTAGCAAGACATCAAATTTTTTTGGGGGGAGCATCACTTTTATATTTTGATTTTTTTTGTCATTCCTAGGATGCGTGTTCCTTTAGTTAAAGTTGAACTGTTGCCGCTTTTTAATTTCAGTTTAAGATCTGCCCAATTCGAATTTATTTTTTCATGTAAAGAACTAATAAAAGCTGCTAAAAAGTATATATGTATTATATTTTTTCTGTTCTATTAATTATAATTTTTTTCTATTGATTAAATTTTTGTTTTGCTGTTACCTAGATTTGGTGAACAATGAATTAATTTGTTATTTTTTCTAATAAATAAATTAGAAAAATAATTTTAAAAGGAAGTCTAAACAGCATTTGTTTCTTTCGAAATTGAACCATGCATCTAACTGAGACATAAACGACATATAATCTGATACATAAAGCTATAATACTTCCCAAAAAGTAAAAAAAAATTAGTCCAGACTGTTCTTAAGCCTCCGTACCTCAGAACATATTTTGATTAGCATCCGCATCCTCATACATCAGTGCATAAAAAATTGAACACGCTTTGTATACATATAAAGGCTTTGCTTTTTGTTGGATCTCCAATTCAATCCTAAATCTGAACATAAGGCCCTTATGATTTTGCCATGATCCGAGAGATTCAATAGCGATTTTTTTTAACTGTGCATTTTAAGTTCTGGGTTGTTTCCATTGACTTTTTTCCGGTGGTACGTTTCTATATATGTATGCATCGTTTGGCCGTTTCGTCTTGTGTTTATTGAACAAAAAAAGTTAAGTTTCTACTAAATTGCTTGCCAAAGCCAAAGTGATATACCAAAGCATGAAGTTTTCTTTTTTGAATCTTTTAGTTCATAGCAATTAGCTAACCCTGCCCGAATATTTTCTTATTTTACATGTTATGTATATAGTACATTACAGGTTTTTAAAGTTAATTTAGAGTAAATATTATATATTAAAAAATTTAAAGATTATGATTGAATGAAAAGCCCATTTTCTAGGCTCGTTTTATCTCATTTATTTAACATTATTTATTTATGGTTAATAATAATTAATAATAGTAATAATTTTGTATGATACATATTGTGAATACTTTTAATTTTGAATTTGCTTACATACATACATTTTATGTATTTAAATCAATTATTTTGGTAAAAAGTTACTCAAACGCTCGAAAACTATTACACATAATATTTTTTTTTCATTTTGTTATTTTGTATAAGTAAACTTAGCGTTTGTAACCAACAAATTTTCAACTAAGAGTTTCCTATTTGCCAAGGCAAAGTACATGAAAGTTCATATTGTTTGATTTTTAATATTCCTTACTAAAAATGGAAAGAGAAAGTTAATTCATTAATATGCATTTTTCACATATTTCCAAGTGTGTACATATTTCCCAGGGCTGATTTGATAATCAAGTTGGTCAGGCTTAATTATTCAAAGTTCACTGCTAATTCAGCTGGGATCTATAGTTGTGTTTTCTTTTCATATTTTACTGTTGTTATTTAACTTTTTCATTTGTGTGTGAAATCTGCAATGAAAAAAATATAAAGGGTAAGTGATTGGGTACAACAAATTAAATTAAAAAGTAAAAGCGAAATACATATAAAAATTCTAAAAAAAAACAAATACATATGTATGTACATATGTGTAAAGAATGTTTTTTCGGTTATTAAATTTTTAGCTCTAAATAGTATCGTAAAAAATTTTAATCAAAATGTTTTATATACTGAAATATCAATCATAGAAAAACAGTTATATTCGTTTGTTCGATAAGCAGTTACAGCGAAATTGATAACTTCTTGATCATCTGCATAAGGTTGAACAATAAATTTATAAGATCATAATTTTTTTAATATGATTATATTTTTGATAATTTCTCTACCATGTTTTTTCTGTAGGTTATTTTTTATGCTTTTATACCAATAAACTAAGAAATTGAATATCAAATATGAAATTTCCCTTTTTATACCCTGCACGAAGTGTATTAACTTTGGTATGGAGTTTGTAACTACTTGAAGGAGTCATCTGCGGTATGGACATATATATATATATTCTTGCTCAGCGTAAAATTCTGCGTTGATTTAGACATGTCCGTCCGTCCGTCCGTCCATCCGTCCGTCCGATCGCACGATAACTCAAAAACGAATAATGCAATCGACACCAAACTTTCACAAGTTGCTTCTTTTGTGCCAAGGACGAACCCTATTGTTATTGGACCAATTCGGACAACGGGTTCGGACAACGCAGCCATACAACTCAAAGAGTTTATTTTAATTATTTCAAAAACTAATAAAGTTACAAGTATAAAATTTTGTATACATGTCCAATCATATTCTACATATGCTCTAAAAATTTTAATGAGATAGCTGCACCGGTTCGGGTGGCTGCCATACAACTCCAAATGCAAATTTTTTATATTCGGCAAAATAATAAAGTCAGATTCATGAAACTTGGCAGTCATGTGTCCAATTATAGGTCAAAGATATTTCTGAAGTTTTGGTGGAATTGCTTGACAGGTTCGAGTGGCTCCCATACAAGTCCAAAAGCTTATTTTAAATATTTGGAAAAGTAATAAAGTTAGATTCATGAAACTTGGCAATTGTGTATCCAATTATAGATCAGATATATTAGCGAAGTTTTAGTGGAATTGTTTGGCAAGTTCGGGGACCTTCCATACAACTTCAAAAGCTAATTTTAAATATTTGGAAAAATAATAAAGTCAGATTCATGAAACTTGGTAGTTGTGTGTTCAATTATAGGTCAGACATATCCGTGAAGTTTCTATAGAATGGTTTCACAGGTTTGAGTAATTGCTATACAACAATGAAAGGTGCAGGGTATAATTCAATCGGTTCATACCGACTGAAACACTTTTACTTGTTTTAGATTAACTTACTTTTTTACATTTGATTGAGTATTATATTTTTATCTAAGAAAGGTTAAACAATTTTAGGTAATTTTTATGCAAATTTGTAATCATTTTCAATTGAGTTTTCGAAATTCTTTTGAAAAAAATTGATACATACTACTGCCAATGAATGGGCGTTATCACAGACATCTTTATATAATTTTGTAAAATTATAAATCGATTTTTCTTAAAACTAGCAATATTTGACGAGAAAACCTATAAATTTTACCAGATAAATGTACCTGTGTATTCAACTAAATTACACAAATTTTTTAAATTTTCTTTTATTAGAGATTAAATTACATACTTAATTTCAATAATATTAGGTAATTGATTAAATTATATTTGCCACAGGCACCAGAGTAGAATTTAAAGCTTTCACAAATTAAAAATACTTCGTTGGTGTCGATTCGCTTTTTCCTAATGCTTGTATCTAGGGTTTAAGAAGACTCAGTTTTCTTCAGATTCGGCGAGTCCGAGTTGTAATAGGTCAGAATCGCCGAGTCCGAGTAAAAGTAATTATTTTTTGTTATATTGAGACTTCTAAAAATAAAAAATATATTAATACACTTCCATTGCTTTACTAGAAATTAATTAACAAAACAAATTCTTACTAATAATTATAAAGAGAATATATTATTGCATAAATAAATGTATCGTTCAAATTTGTTATCAATTCTACTACCTATAAAAAAAGCACTTCTCAGTATTTTTAGAGATTGCTTTAAGTATTAAAAATTAAATTAAATTAATTTTCAAAATTTAACCAAAATTGCATTATGATTTTGTTAAAAAAAATATTATACATGCACTTTCAAATTTGTAATTGTAAGATCTGGACTCCCCGAGTCTCTCGAACGAGTACCGGGTCCAAGTCTTTCTCCATAGACTCGGCGAGTCCTAGTACTCGGACCCGAAAAACTCTACTTGTATCCATTTGTCCCTGATGACCTCGTTTAGCAAAGTAAATCTAGGTATAGCATTTACGGTCTCCTTTTCTCGTAGACTATGGCTTCTGCATCCTTCGACGCCAAACTTTCGGGTAGTTTTTATTTATATGAAGGTAATAAAATATACTATTATATTTTATTTAAGTACCTATGATTACAATAAAACTTTAAAAAGTACACCAATTTTTACAAATTTATTAAGTGGTTTTTCTTTTTACATAAATTTTAGTATTATTTTTTTTAAATTCCACCTTTCTTTCATACAAAATATTACGAGCAAGAGAAAAACTTATTTATGTAAATTATAAATCTTCATTTTATTTAATAACACAAAAAATTAATATAATTATTCACTAAATTTAAATTAAAGTTAAATTTTAAACAGCAAATAAAATATTTTACCGCTCAGCAACACAGCCTTCCCGTACGAAATTTATATACATATGATCTAAAGAATGTTATAGTCTCATATTTTGTTAGACTTTATTCAATAGACATAAATATAAAAATATTAACATGTCTTGTACATTATAGGAGCTTATGACATTATGCATTCATAATTATGTACATATGTATGTAAACACTAGCATCGTAATATATTGATAAGTTATGAACTTGTTATAAGAGGTGTTATCACTCTGTGTTTTTTCATATACTTTCCGAGAAGTAAAATTTTAAAGAATATATAAATTATTATTAATTATAGAAGCGAATAAAAATTCTTGTTTAAAATGTTAAGAAATTTGTACTAAATTTTCTACACATGCAAAACTAAACAAGCAAACTTAGTTATTCCTAATAATTTTTGTATTTTATTTGTACATTTTGATTCTATTTATATAGGTACATATATCAATCAATTATCCTATTCACAGGTAAATTTTTAAATTCGTTTAAATACACAACATAAATTGTATATGAATGTACGTTACATTATATATTCAACACCAGATTGTATAAAAAGTTGCCGCACAAAGGGAAAAAAAATTATCATTTACGTTTTGCAAATTTACCTAGTTAAGAAAAATGCTACCAAAATAACAATGTGCTACTGTTTTATAGACAGAAGTTCAAAAATTCTGATCTGGTAACCACAAAGTTTATTTCTTTGATTATTGCTCAAAATTTCAACTTCCAAAAATTTTAAGTTTTAAATTTTCCTTTTTAAATTTAAGAATGTTAGTAAGCTTTTAGGTTAATTTTTTGGACAGTTGAAACTTTTATTTCAAATATTTACCAACGACGTCTGAAAACAAAAATTTTTTTCTTTAAGGGTCTTTAATAGTAAAAATATTATTTTCAATATTAAGAAGAATGTGATCTGCAGAAACTACATTTTTTTTTGTTTCAAAAAAATAACAATAATTTAAGAATATCAGTATCAAGAGATCCACCAGAATTATCCAGGCTATAAAATTAGAGTTAGGTAGAGATCCACCAGAATGGCAACCCTGCTGATCGTAAGAAAAAAAAATTGTATATTACTTCACCATCGATGTTTGCGATTTATTTTTTTAATGTTGCTTTTTATTTTATGCTTTTTGTTTTTATATTTTGACTAGTCGTGTGTGCTTGCATTGCAAGCCTTGCAAGTATTATGTTCGTAATTTTGAAATTGTGTCCTATTCTGTGTCTGAGATATTGTAAATTTACTTTTTTTCTTCAAAAACACACCCTTAATATACATATGTATATTTAGATATGTTTATACCCGTACGAACGTATGTTCAAAGAGTATACTAAATTTGCCTTACCGTTTGTAATGCTAAGAAATAACAGCGTTAATTGAATTGGACATGATCGGGGTACCGGTTCGGGTGGCTGCCATATAACTTTAAAATTTATTTGGCTATATCTCAGAAACTATAAAAGCTGTGGTATTGAAATTTCAAATTAAATCAATATATATTTAGGGCCAATGTGTCTCATAAGAGTCATTGAAATTATTTGGCTCCTTCTGGTACCTGCCATACAATTTCAAAGTTATTTAAATATATCTTAAAAGCTGTGGTATTGAAATGTCACGCAAGCGAATTTATTAGTAGGGCAAATGTGTCTCATAAAAGTCGTTGAAATTACTTGCCTCCTTTTGGTACCTGCCGTACAGCTTCAAAAGTTATTTGGCTATATCTCAGAAACTATAAAAGCTATGGTATTGAAATTTCACACAAGGGAATAATTTAGCAGGACCGACATGCTTTATAAAATTCGTTCACATTTCTTAGCTCTTTCTGGTAGCTGCCATACAACTTCAATAGTAGTTTGGCACACACAGTATTTTGAAAAACACATACTACTGAAATTTTGCGTAAATTAATATGGTAATACGGCAATTTAAAGTCATAGTCATAGTCATATTTATTCGCACATAGGATAACAAATTCGTACGAATATCACAGGGTTGACAAGGCCAACGCTAATTTTTTCCTAATATTTTACAAAATAAAACTTAAAATAAGAAATGCTCTTAAAAATAATTAAGAAAAAGTATATAATTAAACAAATAATTAGTTCTTTTGAGATGTAATATCTTTTGAGTAATATGTTGTAGAACATCTGATGTCATATTTACATTAAGATTATTTCGATTTTTCGAACAAAAAATATGTGAGATCAATATATTTCAAATATTATTTATTTCTCGGTTTGTGTTTCTAATAATAACG